CTCAGTTTGCAGAATGGTAAAAATAGATAACTTTGGAAAAATTCACCTTGCTTCATGTGTAATTTTCACCAGAATATCCATATAGAATTGCCTTTGCTTCCTTATTATTATCCCTGCTTTCATTTCTATACTGAACTTATTAAATTGAAGATGGATTTTCTTTGATGGATATTCACATGTATTAAATTGCCCCATTCACTTTAATTTATTTCTCTGCTACTTACTTTGGTATAGGATGTCCTCAAAGTTCATCTGGAATATCTCTGTATTTTTGTGGAATCATTGTCCATTGAAAGCTTTTATTCTTGATCTAATTATAATAAACTTCCCCCACCTCCTCTAGCTCTTAGCTAATTCCTGCCTTTCTGTGACTAATTGCAAAGCCTTGTGTTCGGGCCCTTTTAACTCAGTCTATATAGTGGGACTTCTGCAAGGTGGGCTAGTGTTGGCATTGATAACTGTCCTCTACTTCCTACTATCCCAATACTGTTCTCTGCTTCCTATTATCCGCCCCCTTTCTTCTCTTCAGTACATCAGACTGGCAAACTTTGTCTCATGAGACCCACCACTTCTACCTTTCTTCCAGGGTGACTAAAGACCCCCAAGTGATCTCTCAGAAATTCTGCTAAAAGCAGTCTTTCAACACACCCACACATTCTTCAGATCAACAAGTGAACTGTGTTCACTTTATGAACTGTGATGTCTATAGTTAAATCACATGACTTTTCATTTTCAGAATTATATAAATGACATCCATCCCCCCAAGCATTTCTTTTTCTTAAAGTAGCTGTATAAAAAATACTTTCATTTTCCCACCATTGCTCATTAAAGTCAGTTCTTCATTTCATGCTCTTGAGCAAGAGTATGACACATATGTGCCTTTGACTTTTTTCTTTTTTCTTTTTTCTTTTTTTTCTTTCTTTTTTTAAAAAATAATTCTGATCATGTCTGTATTGGTGCCATTCATTTACTGAGTCATCTTTACTCTTTTTGCTTTTTAACTTCTTAACTTATTCCCTAAATGTGTCTATTAATTATATCTGCAAGTAATGGCATATATTTCATTCCTTATAACCTTATTCCTTTTTAAATTTCCCACAGGTCTCTGGCACCCTGAAAGTGGGACAAGGCTTACTTATGCTTTATTATCTCTCATATTTTAAGTGTTACTCATTTCTCAATCTATACATTTAATGCAATCCCTATCAAAATACCACCAGCATTTTTCAGAGAGCTAGAACAAACAATCCTAAAATTCATGTGGGACCACAAAAGACTCTGAATCTCCAAAGCAATCCTTTTTTTAAAAAAAAAATTTCAATTTGCCAACATATAGTATAACAGCTAGTGCTCATCCCTCAAAAACAATCCTGATAAAGAAAAGTAAAGCTGAAGGCATTGCAATTCTGGACTTCAAGCTACATTACAAAGCTGTAGTGATCAAGACACTATGGTACTGGCACAAACACAGACACATGGATCAATGGAACAGAATAGAGAACCCAGAAGTGGTCCCACAACTCTGTGGTCAACTAATCTTCCACAAAACAGGAAAGAATATCCAATGGGAAAAACACAGTCTCTTCAACAAGTGGTGTTGAGAAAACAGGACAGCCACATGCAGAAGAATGAAACTGGACCCCTTTCTTATAACACACACAAAAATAAATTCAAAATGGATGAAAGATCTAACTGTGACACAGGAAATCATCAAAACCCTAGAGGAGAACATAGGCAGAACCTCTTTGACCTCAGCCCTAACAACTTCTTACTAGATGTGTCCCCTGAGGCAAGGGAAACAAAAGCAAAAATGAACCATTGGGACTTAATCAGAATAAAAAGCTTCTGCACAGTGAAGGAGACAATCTACAAAACTAAAATGCAACCTTCAGAATGGGAGAAGATATTTGCAAATGACATACCTGATAAAAGGTTAGCATCTAAAATCTATAAAGAATTTATCAAACTCAGCATGCAAAAGACAAATAATCCAGTTAAGAAATGAGTGGAAGACATAAATAGACATTTTTCCAAAGAAGACATCTAGATGTCTACCAGACACATGAAAAGATGCTCAATATCACTGACCACCAGGGAAATACAAATCAAAACCGCAATGAGATACCACCTCACACCTGTCAGAATGGCTAAAAATCAACAACACAGGAAAGAGCAGATGTTGGCAAGGATGTGGAAAAAGGGGGACACTCTTACGCTGTTGGTGGGAATGCAAACTGGTGCAACCACTCTGGAAAACAGTATGGAGGTTATTCAAAAAGTGGAAAATAGAACTGTCCTAGAACGCAGCAATTGCACTACTAGATATTTACCCAAAGGTCACAAAAATAATTATTTGAAGGGACACACACACCCCAATGTTGATAGCAGCATTATCAACAATGGCCAAATTATAAAAAAAGCCCTGATGTCCATCAACTGATGAATGGAAAAAGAAGAGGTGGTATATGTATATATACAATGGAATATACCTCAGCCATCAAAAAGAACAAAATCTTGCCATTTACAATGACATGGACAGAGCTAGAGTGTATTATGCTAATCAAAGTAGATCAGAGAAAGACAAATATCACATGATTTCACTCATATGTGGAATTTAAGAAACAAAACAGATGAACATGGGGGAAAGAAAAAGAGGGGGGAGGAAAACCATAAAACACTCAACTGTAGAGAACAAACTGAGGGCTGCTAGAGCAGTAGTCGGTGGGGGATGGGGTAGATAGGGGATGGGCATTAAGGAGGGCACTTGCTGTGATTAGGAATGGGTGTTGTATGTAAATGATGAATCACTAAATTCTATTCCTGAAAACTAATATTATACCATATGTTAACTAATAAGAATTTAAATAAAAACTTGAAACACTAAAAAAAACCCCATAAAATAAAAAATAAATTGAGGTTGACAATAAAAAACCTGTTGCTCATTTCTAAGAGGGTATTCCATATTCTTAGCCTTTGAATTAAATAACATGTTATTATGGATAGTTCTAAATATTTGGGTTTATGATTCAATTTTTTATTACTTCCCAACTCATTCCATATTTTGTTAATACACTTAAATTCTCCATTACCCATCTTAATAAATTCAGAGATGGTGCCACATCATTAAACAAATCTTTCTTTTTTTTATATTTCTTTTGGGAAGCATAAACTTTCACAAATTTGATCTTCCCTATTTTCCTTTGTACTTCAACCTTATATTTCATGAATGAAATCAAATACCTTTTAACCATATTCACCATGGAGAGTGAAGAAAAATAAACCTTTCTGTGGCTCATCCTCTGAGAAAACCTTTTTTTTTTCTTTTTTGGGAGAAATTCTCATTCTCCTCATTCTTACGTTTTAATGAGAGGATTTTCAATCCACTCACTAAGAGAAGAAAATAAAGAAAATTTTCTATACTGGACTTCTTGTTAAATTGAAGAAAAATTGCAGTGAATTCAGTCTTACTGTGGGAAAAGGAGCAATCCATCTGCCTGAGGAGACAGGGGTTGGGGGCTTGAGATCTACTGAACCCTAGGAGCCAGAGTTGTGGCTGTTCTGAAAATATAGGCCTCAGCATGACCCTCCCACCCCTTTGGACTTGTTGGCTTTCAGATCATGAACTGCTGCTGCTTTACCTTTCTCTATGAGATGAACATGAGAGGCATGCTCCCATGTGTGGTCAGACTCACTGGCTTCTCTGACCTGGTATTTAAGTGTGGGAGATATTGGACTTGTGGCCCAGGCTTGATCAGGGCTGTGGGAGACTACTATGTTCTCCAGCTACACTAATAAGGTTGCGTCAATTAAATTTTATGAATTAACCAGTTATCTCTCTTGTTTGTAAGCATGCGTTATCAGTCAACATTCTGGACTAGAAGAGGATATGTGGTAGTATTTGGGCACCAAATCCCAAGTGAGAATTCTTTATGTTGGTTTTGTGTGTGTGTGTTTGTGTGTGCTATTAGAATCTATTTTTAAGTTTTAAAATGACTTCAGGGGATCCCTGGGTGGCGCAGCGGTTTGGCGCCTGCCTTTGGCTCAGGGCGCGATCCTGGAGACCCGGGATCGAGTCCCATATCGGGCTCCCGGTGCATGGAGCCTGCTTCTCCCTCTGCCTATGTCTCTGCCTCTCTCTCTCTGTGTGTGTGACTATCATAAATAAAATAAAATAAAATAAAAAAATAAAATGACTTCAGATTTACAGAACAGTTGCAAAGATAGTACAAGGAGTTCCTGGTTATCCTTACCCAGCATCCCTTAATATTAACATCTTACTACAACTGTGATGCACTTACCCAAACTAAGATACTAATAGTGGTACAATACTACTAACTAAACAACCACTTAATATCACTAGTGTCCTTATTCTGTCCCAGTATCATGTAACAAATATTTCACACTGCATTCCTTATTATGTCTGCTTAGTTGCCTCTGATTTGTGATGATATCTCTGTCTTTTTTTAAGGTTTTATTTATTTATTCATGAGAGACATAGAGAGAGAGAGAAAGAGAGAAGCAGAGACACAGGCAGAGGGAGAAGCAGGCTCCATGCAGGGAGCCTGACGTGGGACTCGATCCTGAGACTCCAGGATCACACCCTGGGCCGAAGGTGGCACCAAACCGCTGAGCCACCCAGGGATCCCCTGATATCTCTGTCTTTCCTTGGCTTTCATGACCTTGATGCTTTTGAAGAGTACTGTTCAGGAGTTTTGTAGAATGGCCTTCATTTTGGGATTGTCGGATGTTTGCTCTTATTACTGGTGATGTTAATCTTGATCACTTAGTTATCAAGATGGTTTCTGCTATGTTTCTTCATGGTAAAGTTACACCCCCACCTTTTTTTTTTAATGCAAAACCAATTTATTTCCATGTACGACAATGAAGATTGGGATATTATTAAAAGGAAAGCAGTCTTCTGTCAAATAGAGATCCAGATTTTTAAGTAGCTGCTTTTGGGAACTACTATGATGGAAGACTTGCTGTGTTGCCTTCAGATGTTAAGCCTGTCTGCCTGATGCTTCACCAAACTGTTCCGAGGTGCCTTCCTTCGAAGTCAGCCTTTCTAATTCCTTCTGATAGCTATGCTGGTATTCCAGATATTTTATGCTCCTCTTCTGTTTACCCATGAACCTTTTCAGGAATTCTAAGAGATCAGTTTCATTCTTCTGAGAAGGCAAGGTCTGTACGTCTTGCAGGAGCTTGTGTAACCCGTTTTCCAACTCCAGAGCCATCACTATAGCTTGCACGTTCGTTCCCCAGGACTCTTTGGCAAGCCTCTCAACCACTGGAAGGCAGACTTTACTCTTAGGCTCCTTCAGGTATCTTATGAACTGCCTTGCGTGTTCTTTCTTCACCTCAGCTTGGTCTTGGAAAAAGGGGACATAAACAGGTGCATCCGGGTCTTCATCGAAGTAACAGACCATAGATAAATAACCATCACTGACAGACTGAGGGAGGGAAGCCTGAGGGGGGATGCCTCTCCTTGCCAGCCACCGCATCCAGGAGTGTGCATGGGCCCACCTGCTGGGCCGCATGCCATGTGTGTGCATCTGTTTGCTCCATTTGTTCATTAAAAAAAAAAAAAAGGATTAACAAATATTTGGAAGAAGATATTTCAGAGTTAGGCAAGTATCCTGTTTCTCCATAAACTTTCACTAACTTCAGCATTTATTTGTTAATCATGCCTATAGCAGTTATTGCCATGGTGTTCTAATGGTGTTTTCTGTTTTCCTCATTTCTTCCATATTTATTAATTGGAATTCTTATGTAAGGAACAGTTAGCTCTTCTCCCCAATTAATTTATTGATTCAATCATTTATTTATGTTAGTATGTCATCATGGATACTTATTTTCTGGGTTATAATCCAATTCTATCATCTTTGGCTATTGGAAGCTTTTTTTAGTTGACTTCTTTGTCATTTTGATATGCTATCATCCTTTTAAAATTAAGTTATTTTAATTTAGAGCAACTTAAGATTTGCAGAGAACTTGCCAGAGATAGCACAGTGAATTATTTTTTCTTCTTAAAGATTTATCTATTTATTTTGGGGGGGGGCAGCAGAGGATGAGGGAGAGAGAACCCAAGCAGACACCCTACTGAGTGTAGAGCCCAACACAAGGCTCCATCTCACGACCCAGAAATTATGACCTGAGCCAAAACCAAGAGTCAATGCTTACCTGACTATACCACCCCCAGCATCCTTCGTGTGTTCTTATACATAATACCTTTTACCTTATTCTCCTCATTGTCAGCATCTTACATTACTATGGTACACTTGTCAAAACTAAAAAAAACTATTGGTAGGTTATCATTAACTAACTTTAGAATTTATTTAGATTTCATCAGTTTTTCCATTAATGTCCTCTTTTTTGTTTCGAGATCCAGTGTAGTTACCACTTAGTCGTCATGTCTCTGAGTTTCCTTTCCTCTGTGACAGTTTCCTGACCTTTCCTTGTTTTTCCTCACCTTGACAGTCTTAGGGAGTATGGTCAGGTATCCTGCAGCATGTCGCCTATTCTGGGTTTGTCTGATGCTTTTCTCAGAATTAGAATGGAGTTGTGTGTTGTGGGAAAGAATACCGTGGAGGTGAAGTGCCCTTTTCATCCCATCACATCAGAGGGAACATGGTATCCGCCCGAAGGCACCCTAATGATGTTAACCTTTGTCAGTATGCTAAGGTGGTGTTTACTGGGTTTCTCCTACTCTATTCTGTGCAAGCAAATCACAAAGCCTAGCCCACCTTCAGGGAAGGAGGATGAGGAATTAAAATGATCCTCTGCGAGGGAGGCGTATCTACATGTATTATGTAGAATTCTTCTATAAAGAATATGGGTCTCTTCCCCCATCAACCTTTGTTTGCACTAAGAAAACATCTCATTTCTCTTCTCTGAGAGTCCTATGGGCCATATTGCCAGCTTTTTTGTGTTCTTATCAGCATGATTTCCTCCTGTTGATTGTCCTCCCTCCAGGTGTGTATTTCATCAGTGCCTCATGGCTTCTTCGGAACCTTGTTTCCTTCCCTTCTGCCTCAGCCCTTTATCTAGTCTCAGGCCCTAATGGAACGCCAGTGTTTTTTACATGTGGCAGGCTGTCTCCATCTTCTAGGGGGCTGCCCGCTGCCTTCCCTTTACCACTATGATACCTGGATACTCTCCCTGTGTCTTTGTTCCTAATCTAAGCATTTCCATCCCGAACGGAAGACCCTCTTCTTACCAAGCTCACCTAGTGTCCATCCGCCATGTTTTTTTGCTTTTGTTTTGCCTCCAGCTGTTGTTTTTCTCTAACTCCTCTGTTTTTCTTCCCTCTCCACCCATTTACCATCTGGAAATCAATATATTTATTACCTCCTCTTTCCTCTTTTCTCATGCCCCAGAGCATCTCCTTGAATTTATTGTAGTTAGATGTTATCTGCTCAATTGTCAACCCTCCCCCCCTTCATCATGGCGACCTGGGCCCCATGCAGCACTGCCTGTTTTCTTTTCAGTTTACTGTGTTTCAGGTTTAGGCTTCTTTTTCTGCCCACAGCTAATACACAGTTTACTTTGTATGACAGTTTTGTTCTTGTCTCCGTACTAGAAAACACATAATAATGCCAATAATTCTCTCAGCAACAGTTGCTATTATTTATTGAGCACCCAGCCTGTGCCAAGCACTGTGCTGTCTGCTTTATGTTCACAGACTTTCAGAAGATATTGTTATCATAACCATTTTATACACAGGAAAGTAAGACTCAGAAGGCTAATTAACTTGCTAGGTTCACAGTGTTAATTTTAGAATTCTAAAGCCGTTTTTCCTTTCCAGGTAATTCTGAGTCCTTCAATCATTATTCAGATTAATCTTGAGTTTCTCTATAGTGCATCTTTGGCTCTCAGGATAGCATTTGAATTCTTTGATGATGTTTAAATCAAAAGCACCTTAGTTTATGGGTAAACATATCTTCTTTTGATGTAAAATTTGAAGCTTCCATCAAAACACTGACCTTGAATGATTTGAATGAATGGTGTCTTACACAATCCTCTTGACAACTCTGTGGTAAGTGCAGTATTATTCCCATGATACATATAGGAAATTGATTTTTAAACAATTTTAGTAATCTGCTCACTCTAATTATGTAAACAAGGTAGGGGCCAAACTGGAATTTGAACTCGGGTAATCTAACTTGAAGGCCATCCCTTTAACTAACTCTTCATCTATTGCAATATTACTAGGGGCTCACTCTAGCTACTATTGGCTATTAGCTTGTATTGTTCTCTCTTAGTTACCTGTGCATACATTATCTGTTTCCTTACTCTTTCATCCATAGTCTCAACTGAGAATTATCATGTGGGAAATAAAATCTGGAGTGGGTCTCTAAGGTTAAATGAAGAATTTCATTTAGAAACCATCATTTGACATATTCTCAGACTATGATATCATATTTATCTCTAGACCATTGAGAAAGGTTAGTCATAATGGAACATTAAGAATTTAAACAGGTATTAGTCACAAAAGAAAAGAGATCATAGCATCCTGCTTTGATTCACAGATTCCGGGTAATAGAAAATAGTCACGTTAAGCACTACAGATTCATTTCTAACTGATATGGTCTTATTTCCAAGTATTTGTAATTTATAGTATACTCTCTCATCAAGCATTTTGAAATTTCATTACTGCAAGCTTTAAGGGGATGTTCAAATACTTCCATTTGTTTGGAATATCGTTGTGTTCAACCTCAGGTATAATTGAGCCAAGGATTAGAATTTGAAAATCTTTTAGATTGCAGAGATATTCATTATTAAATAATTGATTATAATGAGATTTAACCTGTTACAACTAATTAGTGCAGGTCTTCTAAGTGGAACAGAAGCTTGACAATTATTCAGCAATTTCAGTAGTATGGAAAGCCATCCATTTAAAAAAACAATCCACTTATATTCCAAAAGAAGCACAGTGAATTAGAGAACTTGAAAAAATAAAAATCTGCAGAAGGTGAATTGAATATGTTTTCCAACAGTTTGCTCTTGAATTGCTACATTTATGATATCTAATAGAAAAAAAGATAATGACAAAATGACTGAAATATAAAGTGTGGGCACTACATCGCTCTCCAAAAACCTTCTGAATGATCACTCTTGCATCAAAAAAAAAAAAAAAATGAAGGCCTCAGACTCTCCACCCTTAGCTTTTAGCTCTTTCACTACAGTGAAATATGCAGGTTTTCTTTGTATCAGGCTCTGCATACTCTTCTCTTCAAGTCCTTTGATTCTAGGATATTGCCACTCAAGCATCATTCCACAATGTAAAAATGATAGTCTCTGAAAACAGCCAAGGCAGCATTTACCACCTAGACTATTCTTTCCAATGACTCCATCACTACTAATGACCTCATTACTCTCAATGGCAGCCATGTGTCTCCTACTTACAGAGAGATGCAAAAGATTTTAGGTTGTTATTTTTTGAATTATGATTACACACATAGCATGAAATCCAAGGAGTACAAGCCGTTATACATTCCAGTTGAACTCTCCCCACCTTGGCTCTTTACACTGGTTCCCCTCCAGAGTCAACCACTGATGCCAGTTTCCTGTGTGTGCTTCTAGAGGTATTCTGCTCTTTTCTACAAGTAGTAGCATTTCATTTTTTTTAAACACATAGCTTTTTTTAAAATTTTTATTTATTATGATAGGCACACAGTGAGAGAGAGAGGCAGAAACACACGCAGAGGGAGAAGCAGGCTCCATGCACTGGGAGCCCGACGTGGGATTCGATCCCGGATCTCCAGGATCGCGCCCTGGGCCAAAGGCAGGCGCTAAACCATTGCACCACCCAGGGATCCCAGTAGTAGCATTTCAAACACAGTGCTCTGCAGCCCTTCTGGAAAAAAAAAATAGCTGCTTTATTGAGGCACAATTTATGTGTCTACAATTCATATACTTTAAGGGAACATTAAATGATTGTTAGTAAGTTTAGAGCTGTGCAACCATTGGCACAGTCCAATTTTTAGAACATTTATGTCATTTATAAAGATCACTGTGACCATGTGCAATTATTCCCTATTCACACCCCTGCTTCAGGAAGTCACAAGTCTACTTTCTGTCTCTATGGACTGCTTTTTCTGAACATTTTATATAAATGCAGTCATATAATATGTGGTCTTTTGTAACAGGCTTCTTTCACTTAGTCCAGCGTTTTTAAGATTCATATATATTGTAGCAAATAATACTACTTTATTTCTTTTTATTGCTGAGAAGCAGTCCATTGTATGTATGTACTACATATGGTTTATCTGTTAATTAATTTATGACCATTTGGCTTGTTTCCACTTTTTACTTTTATGAATAATATTGCTATGAATGTTCATGCACAAGTATTTGTGTGGACATGTATTTTCATTTGTGTCCAGTAGACATGAAGGAGTGGAATTCCTGAGATGTGTGGCAAATTTATGGTTAACGTTTTATGGAATCACCAATTTGTTTCCAAAATGCCTGTAACACTTTTCATTGCCCCAAACAAGTA